CGAGTCACAATAAACTTCCCTTTTTTTGCGAGTTGCATTGTCTTGGAAGCCTTCTCTCTTCCCGCTCAGGGATTCGGACATTGGGCATAACACATACTTGCCTATTTCATGCAATAGGGCTTCCCAGATGGCGATAGTGGTAAAGAACTCACATGCCAATGCAGGAGATGTAAGAGACATGGGTTCGATCCCTGGGTTGAGAAGATCCCCTGGAGAAGGAAATGGCAACCCACTCCAGTATTCTTGCCTGGAGAATTCCATGGACAGAAGAGTCTGGCGGGCTACAGTCTATGGGGCTGCAAAGGGCTGGACACAACTGAGCATACACACATACAGAGGATTCTTTTTCTTGATCTTCCCACAAATTTTGGTATGTAACTAATATCATCATCTTCTCAGTGATAAAGGGAAACAATGAATTTAAGTAGCTTATCTGTGCATGTGTGTCACACAAAAAATTAGTGGCAGAGCTGGGACTTCATTGCAGGTTCTAGGCTGGTACAAACCCTGGATATTTCCCCCCAAATTCTATAGACAACCATATAAAGTTATAAATATGCTCTCCTGTGAGTCTCAGTTACTCTGTAAAATGGGAACTACAGAGTACCATCTTTTGGATAAATATGATCATGTATGTGAAATCACTTTGTAAAATGCAAATGTGAATCAAATCAGTAAATTAAACTGTCTGCCATAAAGTTTTTCCTAGTGCTCAGAACCAGGAATATTTGAGGAAACTTTGTCTATTTTTGACTACCCAGAATACAAATAGGTTTTCCCAATAGCTTTCCCAACGGCTCAGCAGGTAAAGAATCTGCCTGAGATGCAAGAAGCTCAGGAGCCACAGGTTCCATCCCTGGGTTGGGAAGATCCCTTGAAGGAAATGACAACCCACTCCAGTATTCCTGCCTGGAAGATCCCATGGACAGAGGAGCCTGGTGGCCTACAGTGAATAGGGTTGCAAAGAGTCAGACACAGTTGACCACAGCATGGTAACGGTAGGAGCATACACACACATCCTAGATCTGGTGGGGCTCTATTTCCCACCATGAGGCCCAAAGGGGGCCTTTTCTCCCCATTTCAGCAGATGCAATATGTGATTGGCAGAAGGAACAGGTCCACATTGGTGGTGAGAAACTGACTTCGACACCAAGTCTGGTCCTGGCTAATGATGTGCAGTGAATCCTAACCTGTAGGATAAGCATTAGCTTTAATCCAGTGAACACAATAGCCTTCACTTTGTTATAAATATGACATAGGGTGTGTGACAAGGGATCAGAGGCCTCCTATTTGGTTTTGGATCCCAGGTAGCAGCTACTACTGTCCTGGCTAGAAACAAATAGATGGAGCAGAAGAAACAGTCACCTTCCTACCACTGAGATGTGAGCTCTCCCAGCATCGAAATCTGTATTCATAGGAATGATTGCCACCCTTCATGGTGCATGGCTGTCTGCCAGGCACTGTACAAGGCGCTTTGTCTATGTTCTCTCGTCTCATCACCATTTCGCAGGTAAGAAAACCCAAACATGACAAAACAGAGACAGCCTAGAGTGGATATTGCATCTAAAGACAATGCAGTGCTTTGAAATTGAGTCAAGAAGCTTTCAGGCCACAGTGAGGACTGAAATACAAGTGTTCCTATGATCTGAAGCAGAAGCTCCAATACTCTGGTCACTCGATGTGAGGATCTGACTCGTTGGAAAAGACCCTAATGCTGGGAAAGATCGTGTTCAGGAGGAGAAGGGGGCAACAGAGGATAAAATGGTTGGATGGTGTCATGGACACAAAGGACATGACTTTGAGCAAACTCCAGGAGACGGTGGACAGGGAAGCCTGGTGTGCTGCAGTTCATGGGGTCACAAAGAGTTGGACATGACTTAGTGACTGAACAACTATGGTAATCTCCTAAAATTGATTCCTTATAACTATAGTAGAAGGGAGCTTATATTTTTCACAACTGGAAATGCCTCTTGTCCAAAGATATGCTGGTTTACATCAGTCTTTTAAGGATGTCATCATTATTAATCTAAATGCATTCCTAAAAATCTGTAGCTATATTGGGTCATCTAAGAGGGTTAGCAACAAGAAGGTATGACTTTGACAATGAAGTTATGTAAAGAGCAAGGAAAAAAAATCTGGCAGCTTAAAAAGATTTTCTCTTTTTTCTTTCTTAGAGGAGGCTTAATCTGGCCTAAGATTTGTCTCAAATTGACAGTATAGGCTTAAATCAATTTATTATTTTAAAACACGATATGACCATTTTCATTCCTCTTTGGCTTCCGAGTTTTTTAACTCAATTTGAAATTATTGTGACATTTAAGAGCTTATTGGCATAGAAAGTTTTCCAAACACCTCACTGTTAGGCTTTCAAATAAGAATAAAAGAAAAGTAATCAGCATCGTCAGCAATGACTGTGTGAATGAGGAAATCTAAGTTTGTGTGTCCATTTTCTTGAGAATATGAATCAGTGTTCCTGATGTTGAACATACATCTAAATAGTAACCTGTATCTTTGATAAAGATTTTGATTCAGGATGAAGAAAGTAGAAAGATTGTGTTAAATAAATTTTACAAATTCTAATTGAAGCATTGTCAGTGAACAGTTTTCCAAATTACCTCTCGTGCACAGCATACACAGCAGATGTGGAACAGAACACGCTATATTTCTATCAAGAAGCAAAGTCAAGAGGATGAAGTTTAAGGGTAGAAGATTGTTTGGATCACCATCAACAATATTTAGAAACAAAATTTCGAACCCCACATTTTCTAAGATACATTTAGGGAAGTAGCTGTTGAAATCATTATAAAAGGTTACAATGGTTCTTTAGCCCACTTTGGAGCTAAGGTTGATCACCTATTTTTCACAATAACTAGGTTTCATTAAGGAATAGAGAGTGAAAGATAGAAGACCATAAATATACACCAGCTCAGCTGGTAAAGAATCCATCTGCAATGCAGGAGACCCCGGTTCAATTCCTGGGTTGGGAAGATCCCCTGGAGAAGGGAATGGTTACCCACTCCAGTATTCTTGCCTGGAGAATCCTCATGGACAAAGGAGCCTGGTGGGCTATAGTCCATGGGGTTGTTAAGTGTCGGACATGACTGGAGTGACTAATGCACAATGCAGCAGAACACACACACATATATATATGTATATATAAAGAACGAACCCAGAAAGAACGAAGAAATATACTTAACCACATGAGATATCTTCTACTTGCTGCCCAAGGTGGAAGTGGGCCAAGAGGTCTGTGGAATGACAACCATGTCCCCCACAACACTCTCCTTTAACAGTTTTCCCTGCACCTGGGGAAACCTTCCACAGTAGAAGAAACAATTTTGAAATATCCTAAGATAAGTTTAGAAGTCGGGACTGAAGAGAGATGAGCATTGATTCCTCTAATGAGGGCTTAGGAAAGCCCATGTTATATGGAGGCCTGTGTCCAAGCTTGAACTGTTCCCTTGATTGTCATTAGAATCTCCTGGATTTAACTAAATATCCTCTCTTTATCCCTTGGCACACATCGTGGACTAATGATATGAATACTTGACACAAAACCCCTTAAAATATTATGCTTTAGTAACTTCCTGGTTAAAATTTTATTTTATTTTCTCTCTTGGGGCCAAGGTTCAGTTTTGCCATTTGATTGTGAAAACTCTATGTATTATAAATTACCAGGGGCAATTTTTAGTATAATAAACTCACAACTTGTGACTGATTTGTAAACATACCTAATAGGCAGAAAACAGATGCAGATAGTAATTCCATAATACAAACAAGTAGCCAATAATTGTTGCCCTGGAGGTATTCCAAGGTATGAAAATATCTTTATTTGAAGTATAGTTGATTTAAATATCATATTAATTTCAGGTGTACTACATAATGATTTGATATTCTTGTAGATTATACTGAAAAAGCTTTAAATTTTTTCCCTCTTTAGGATACATATACTTGCAATATGTTGCAAGGAACCTCTTGTGATAGTTTCTAATACGCATAAAGTTGAAAGCTTGTCTACGTACATATTTTTGATAAATCCTACTGACAAATACTTCATGGGCATTTTATTTCCCTTAGCTACTTTCAATAATTTCTTGTCCTGCTATTTTATCACTAAACATAGTTCTTTAAAAATATGGAAACCCCTCTAAAAACTCTTACTCTCTCAATACTATATGTCTTCTCATATGTTCATATCACTGTGAATATATATATATGCACACACACACATATATATGAAAATATACACATGTGTGTATGGATTTCATGTTAGAATGGCCTCAGGAAATACAGGGATTTAGGATAACATAGGATCAGGACTTCCCTGGTGGTCCAGTGGTTAAGACTCTGCTTCTATTCCAGGGGGCAAAAGTTGGATCCCTGGTTGGGGAACTAAGATCTCCACATGCCAGATGGTGAGGTCAAAAAAACAAAACAGTATAACATATGGTTTCTGGTGGTGTGTGTGTCCTATATGTGTATATATGGAGTCCTCCATGACACAGGCAAATTGAAACAAGTTTTAAAACAAGTCAGTCACTTCGCCCTTTCCCTTGGCATCTATTATTCACATTAGGTATTTCTAACAAAACAGTTTGGCTTTCCTGGTGGCTCAGACAGTAGAGAATCTGCCTTCAAGGCAGGAGACCTGAGTTTGATCCCTGGGTTGGGAAGATCCCCTGGAGAAGAGAACAGTTACCCACTCCAGTATTCTGGCCTGGAGAATCCCATGGACTGTATGGTCCATGGGGGTCACAAAAAAACGGGACACGACTGAGCTACTTTCACCATATCCATAAAGTTATTCTTAATTTTCCTTTGCCATATAAAAGGCATGATTTAATTCTTTCAGTCAGCAGTCACACACATCATCCGTCTTAGGCAAATCTTGGCACTTGGATTAAGCACCCAGCTAACAGCAGACTGTACACAGACACTTGAGCGCCTTGAAGGGAAAAGCGACATTTTGCTTCCACCCCAAACAAAGCTATTATATTTACCTTCTACTTTGAAGATAGTAAAGTGCGGTCGGCAGTGGAAAGAACCCAGGGCGTTGCCTGCGCAGTTCATCCAAAGCCCCTGGTAAACCCAAGTGGCCGTTATCACCGAGGATGCTCGGGTGGTTACTTTCCACTCATTGGACGCGGTGGCCGCGACGAGAGCGCCAAAGCCCCCGACGCCGAACACCAGAGCCGAGATCTGAGCCCTGGACATGTCGCTCAGGCGTCTCCAGGGACACTGTCCAGACGGATGGCAGCCGTGGTCTAGGCATGCAGCGGGCACGACCCGCGTGGACCAGTGTTGCAGCGAGTTAATACAGGTAGGTCACAGCACTTCATGCTCGGATGGCCTGAGGAAGGACCGGAATTTAGGATAAAGTTTGATTTACTGATGGCATTTTAGAAGTAGCCAAAGACGATCTTTCTACACGGGTATTTACTAAAACTCTGTAGACCGATTCTAAAGGTTTTGAGTTCGCAGATTTTTTTCCCCCTTGGCTCCGTAGTTAATGCTTAAGTTTTTGTTAGTCTGAAGCTTAACGAACCATGGAATGACCAGATATTACAAAGTACAAATTATACAGTAACAGTGAAGGCTTACTTGACCCATTACTTTAGTTTTGTGTCTTTCTGAGTCTTACATAAATGGAATCATTGTGTAGGTTTCTTCTGTAACCTTTTTTTTCCCACACATTGTATTTGTGAAATTTATCTGTGTTCCAGAGTGTAGCTATAGTTCATAACTTACGAGAGCAGAATAGTATTTCATTAGATAAATTTTGCTGAGTTATACCATTGTTTTGAATCAGTACTTTGAAGATGCAACTCATTTTTAGTTGGCTTCTGTAGGTTTTGAGAAATTGAGAGCCTGATTTGTCATTTCTGTGTAGATTAATGTGTTTGGCTGGTTTTAAGATTGTTTCTTTGGTTTTGGCAGTTTCACTAATCTTCTAAGTGTGGATTTTTCTTTTTAAAATCTTCTTTAGGATTTACTGATCTTCCTGAAACTGATGCTCTTTCATCAGTTCTGGAGAACCGTTAGTCCTTTCTCTCTAGGAATCACCTCTGCCCTTATCCTTTCTTTATCTCCTTCTGTGACTCTGATAAGATGTGTTTTTTTACTTTGTCCTATATCTCAAACTCCCTTTAACATTTTTTACCTCTTTATTGCTCCGTGCTGCATTCTGGGAATTTTTTTTCAGACATATGTTCTGATTTTAAAAAATTTATCTTTGGCTATGTAAAACTCTTAAAAAAAAGTTCTAGAATTTCCATTTTATTCATCAAATCTGCCTGTTTCTTTTTTCTAACCTCTTGTTCTTTAGTCAAAATTCAGAAGCCATGTTTTATCTGTTAGTATTAGAGATGTTTGTCGTTTATTTTTATTTATTTTAGGCTGTGCTAAGTCTTTGTTGCACCATGGGTTTTTCTCTTCTTGGGGTGAATGGGGGCGCTCCTCTCCAGTTTCGGTGCATGAGCTTCTCATTGTGGTGGCTGTTCTTGTTTTAGAGCACAGACTCTTGGGTGAGAGGTCTCAGTAGCTGCAGCCCTGGCTCAGTAGTTGTGGCTCCCGGGATCTAGACCACGGGCTCAGTAGTTGTGCACAGACTTAGTTGTCCTGAGGCATGTGGGATCTTCCTGGATCAGAGATCGAACCCATGTCTCCTGCCCTGGCAGGTGGATTCTTTACCACTGAGCCATCCAGGAAATCCCTAAAGAGGCTTATTTTATTTGTATTTCATTATATCTCTTATCTTATTTGTATCTCATTATTCTCATATCTGTGGTTTTTGCAGGTTGGATTGATTTTGTTTTTCCCTAAAACTTCTAAAAGTTTGACTCTCTTACTCATGGTAGTTTGTTAAAACAGATGCTTTGTGATTTGTAATTGTGAGCTCACATTCATTGCAACTTTACTCATGGAAATGAAAGACAGGAAGGTAGAGAGGCAGGTAGGAGGGAGAGGAAGGAGGCAGAGGAAAAAGGATGAATACAGCCTAGCTTGGACGAGCAATGAATGGACTAAGATTTCCTGGGAGGCAGAAACTCTAGGTGGGTCAGGGGAGGGGAGCTGGGAGTACAGTGAGCCGGGTAGGAGTGTGCCCTCTGCTGGTAGCTGCTGAGTGGTGCAGAGAACACCAAGTCCGGCTTCAGGCTGCCCTCTGCAGTGCAATGTGCTGACTTGTTTCCGAGGACAAGAATTTCTTTCGTTTTTGCAGGCAGGTGGCAATGTGAGAAGATAAGGTAGAAATAGGAACTGCTGGGCTTCTGACAGGAGATTATCGTTTGTGGAAAATAGACATTCAGTCACTTTCTTCCTTCCTCCTCAACCCCAACAAAAGCTGAAAACCTGGAACTATTTGTGTCCTTGGGGATGAGTGGATCCACAGTAAACAGGACATTAAGTGTTAAAATGTGGACCATCTGAGCAAACCAAAAGTTTTTGTCAGCCTGCTCTCAGTAGCCTCCTCTTTCTGGGAATAAAAATAACAATAGATGACATTTATTTAGCACTTTTCTCCGTGCTCTACATGTCTTATGTCATAATCTTCATACCAAATTAGGAGGGAGGTATTTATGGTATAATAAAATTTATGAGCCTGGAAGAGTTCACAGATTTCCACCTCCCTTCAAAGAAATCTCTTTTTTCTTCTTTTTAATTTGTTCTTTCCGGCATCAGTACTGCATTCATAGTAAAACGCTCCTCGCAACCCCTCTTGCTCCTGTGATAGACTCCCCCTTTCCATTTCTATCTGCACGTGCATTTCTTGCTCCTGCCGGGAGATGATTAAGATAGGAACACGAATTTCTTTGAGTATATGTGACTTACTGTCTAAAGAAAAGTAAAAGAAGAGAAGAGAAAAAAAAGAAATCTAGAGCTCTGTTTTTACCTCAGTGTCATATCGTCGCTCAGTCGTGTCCGACTCTTTGTGACCCCATGGACTGTAGCCATGTAGGCTCCTCCGTCTGTGGGGTTTTCCAGGTAAGAGTACTGGAGTGGGTTGCCATTTCTTTTTCCAGGGATCAAACCCGGGTTTTCCTGCATTGCAGGCAGACGCTTTACCCTTTAAGCCACCAAGGAATCACCTTAGTAAGTGTCCCAACTACAGTCCAGGGTCAAATTGACCCCGACAGTTGTCTAGTTTGGCCACGAGATGGCGCCATGCACCAGAAAGACACTATGGCTGCTGCTGCGCAGGCTGCTCTGCAGGCTTGCATCCCATGGAGGGCTGGCGACCCTGACAAGGGATATAGACAGAATAACACCCGGGGAAGTGAGTGAAGGCTGAGAACGTGAAGGCAATGCAGAGTAGTGGCGGGAAATGCAGACGCTGGGATCAAACGAGATAAAAAAGCTTCCCAGTGCAAGCTCTCCCATCTTCATTTTTCTGTGAACATTTACCTACTTGTATGTATATGTGTACACACACACACACACACACACACACACACACACACGTATATATATATATACACATATATAAAGGAGGAAGTGGCTTACTGATTAAGTAAGAAATCCCACAGTCTCCATGGAGACCAGGGCAGCCAATGGCGTAATTTAGTTCAAGTCCGAAGTCGGGAGAAGCCAGGGAGTTAGTGGTGTACATTCCACTTCAAGGACAGGAGAAGAGGAGATTGGAGGTCAGTTCCAGCGGTGAGGGAGAAAAAAAAGGAGGGAATTCTCTGTCTTCTGCCCTGCTTCTAGTCAGGCCCTTAACAGGTTGGATGATGCCCATTCACAATTCGGGCGGGGCGGGGGGCAATCTACAGAATCCACAAATCCACTGAGTCAAACACTGATCATCCAGAAACACCCTTGCAGACTCAAAGGAGTGAAAGTGAACTTTACATTCCACTTGCCATTTGACTGTGAGTATTTGCCAACACACACAACACCAGATTCTTTTTTCAGGGCAGGTGGAATGTTGAAGGAGGGAAGCAGAGAGAGGATTGAGGACTGGGTCATCGTGGTGGGTATATCTACCCAGATACTGTTGAGTTCATCTCCTGGTCTCTGCAGTCCCTTCGGTTCAGCTCAGCTCTACCTCCACCACTCAAGCCAGGTGATGAGTATTTCTTTCCTGGAAATACAGTCCTAGTGAGCAGAGAAGCCCTGCTTTCACTCCAGGCTCATCCAGAATCAGTGTTTAATCTGGACACTCTGTAAGCAGTCCAGCTAATATCATATGAGGAGATACATGATGTAGATATGTTTCAACATTGATGATGTTAACTTGATCTCAGCTTTCTCCACTGTAAATGTATTATTTCCCTTTCAAGGCTTCTTTCTCCTGGCCAGTCACCAAGTCTTAAGTCTAAATCACTCGGTTTAGAGTAACAGTTTAGGGGTGTTTCCCCGGGGCTCAGGTCAGTAGGGTGTGGGTGTCTGAAGCGGAAAATGCCCTGATGCTATTGGCTCCTGGATCTAGTGTGAGCCTGGGGCTCCCAGATGGTTCAGTTCAGTTCAGTCACTCAGTCATGTCCGACTCTTTGCACCCCATGAACCGCAGCACGCCAGGCCTGCCTGTCCATCACTAATTCCCGGAGTCCACCCAAACCTGTGTCCATTGAGTCGGTGATGCCATCCAACCACCTCATCCTCTGTTGTCCCCTTCTCCTCCTGCCCTCAATCTTTCCCAGCATCAGGGTCTTTTCCAATGAGTCAGCTCTTCTCATCAGGTGGCCAAAGTATTGGACTTTCAGCTTCAGCATCAGTCCTTCCAGTGAACACCCAGGGCTGATCTCCTTGCAGTCCAAGGGACTCTCAAGAGTCTTCTCCAACACCACAGTTCAAAAGCATCAATTCTTCTGCACTCAGCTTTCTTTATAATCCAACTCTCACATCCATACATGACCCCTGGAAAAACCATAGCCTTGACTAGATGGACTTTGTTGGCAAAGTAATGTCTCTGCTTTTAAATATGCTGTCTAAGTTGGTCATAACTTTCCTGCCAAGGAGTAAGTGTCTTTTAATTTCATGGCTGCAATCACCACCTGCAGTGATTTTGGAGCCCAGAAAAATAAAGTCAGTCACTGTTTCCACTGTTTCCCCATCTATTGGCCGTGAAGTGATGGGACCAGATGCCATGATCTTAGTTTTCTGAATGTTGAGCTTTAGGCCAACTTTTTCACTCTCCTCTTTCACTTTCATCAAGAGGCTTTTTAGTTCCTCTTCACTTTCTGCCATAAGGGTGGTGTCATCTGCATACCTGA